ATTTGTTTCATTGAATCTTCTGTGGTTTAATATAATATTTTGGCAACTTATTGCCACCCCAATTTCTGAGTTTTAATTGTTTCTGCATTGGTTTATAATAAGCTTCATTCATTATTTATGATGACTTGTATTTGCCTTTTCCAAACGTTCCTATCATAAAAAAATAAGCACGAACCTAGTAGAAAAAAATCCATCCTGAACAATTATCAGCTGAAAAGATGTCCAGTTCAAAGAAGCCGTTTCCATGGAAGAGCCTCGCGTTTGCAACTTCTGACTCAGTCATACCTCCTTGTCATTTATAGACAGCCCCGTCCCTTCTCTTCATCTATCTCCCCCCCCCCCATCCCATCCCCACAACCCCCACTGACCCCTAAATCATTTTCTGCCTCCTCTTCGATCTCTTCCGATCCAAGGTCCGACATACTGCATCCAGCTGTGTCACCATGGATACGGCGTTCCCGGTGGATACGCCCCCTTCCAAGGAGGCGGAACCTCTCGCCGCGGCAACCGGGTCGTTGGTTGACGTCCCCCGCCCCCCCCCCCGCCACTCCTTTTTCTGTGTCAGTTACGCCGCCAGGTGTCTCCAACCTTGGCAACTTTAAGCCTTGTGGACTTCAACTCCCAGAGTTCCTCAGCCAGCTTTGCTCCGGCTTCAACTCTGGGAGTTGAAGTCTACAAGGCTTAAAGTTACCAAGGTTGGAGACTCCTGTATTTCTGATAGAAAGCAGGAAGAAATTTGTCAGCGCAAATTACAGCTAAGCATTGTCAAATCGTTTGGCGCGGTTTGTTCCCGCGCACGGCTGGTTCTCCATTGCATCCCATTGCAGTTTCTCTGTAATTCAGTCAAGAAGCGAGGATCTTCGATACCACGCCACTAAGGGCAATGGTGCTGCTGAGTTTTCAGTGTAATCCCTAAAGGTTTTGCTCAGTCCTAATTGATAATCTGTGTAAACAGGTCTTGTTTCCTTTTCTTGCTGTATTTAAGATTTCTGCCTCGGAATCGTTTCAACAACTGAGTACAGACTCACAGGCTTACCGGTCTCATAAGGGACTCTCTTACCTAAATTAAGACTTTAAAAAATCCAATAAAAGCCTTTCATGCATATTTTCCAATTGTAGTCCTTCTGACAGCAATTAAAGTAAGAATCATCATAGTGGCAGGGTTCCTCTATCATTCATTATATTAAGCCATAATGGCATGGGCTTGTGTAAACCCACAATTATGACTTGTAATTGATGGAATAGTAATTGGGTCAGCTAAGCATGCTTAAGCAAATTATAGCTTAGCACAATACATGAATCTGTAAGTGCTAAGAGTGGTTTAACTAAAGCACCAAGAAGTAGAGGCTAGAATCTAGCCTGATTTCCAGTTCTGTTTCACATACGTAGTCTTATGGTTTAAGTCCTACTGAATTAAAAAGATTTATTCAAACTTTCATGATGCTGCAGTTACCTTAATATTGTGAGTTTTTTTTACACTGAATTCTATTTTTCCCCTCTTGTTCTGTGTTGTTATCTGAAAATTTAGACTTCATTATTAGCATTTTAATATAGGTGTCAAGGCCCAATTTTAACTTCAGGAAAACATTGTTTTCTTAGCTAAGGCCATTCTTTGTGTTGAGGGAATTCCTCTCTGTGGCAGCCCCTCAAATATTGGAAGACCGCTATCATGTCTCACCTGGTCCTTCACTTCACTAGACCAGCCAAGCCCAGTTCCTGCAACCATTCGTTGTATGTTTTAGCCTACAGTCCCCAAATCATCCTGGTTGCTCTTCTCTGTACTGTACTATACTGTACTCTGTACTCTGCTCTGTACTGTACTTTATCACAGGGTTACTTTCTATCTCCTTATTAATACTTCACAGAGTCTATTCTCTGCCCCTCAATTTCCTAAATTATCACATCTTTGTGTGGAGCACATGCTCATATGTTAGCTTCACATTGGGAAGTTCAGAGCAGTCCCCCCCCCCCCCATTCCTTGTTTCCAAGAATAGGGAGTTGGTAGATTTTGTTTTTCCAGAAGACAAATTTGCATGTGGTAATTGTTGGTTTGCCCTGAAAAATACGGCCTTCTGCAAATCATGCTATTTGCCTAGAACATTTTGCATCATCCCATGATGTACACTGACTGCCATATTTCCACCAAAGACTAGCTTCAGCAAAGATCACCTAATTTTTCACAAATATATCTATTCATATTTTCTCCCAAGAAATGGTAATGCAATTTTGAAATTTTGTTATAGGGTGTTGTAGCCAATGACATATAAAGTACCAGTATATAATTATTTCTATTTGAGGAAACCAGTGGACACACTCTTTTCTTTGGGTGGATGTCAGTACTGATAGGTATCCTCCTAATAAACATTTATTGTCTAAAGTCTAGACTAATTTATTTTGGCATGTTTTCAGTATGACATTCAGCTTCATCAGATGAATGATGTGCTATAGAATAGAAGAACAGAAGAACAGAATTCTTTATTGGCCAAATGTGACTGGATATACAAGGAATTTGCCTTTAGTGCATATGCTCTCAGTGTACATAAAAGAAAAGACACATTCATCAAGAATCAAAAGGTACAACACTTAATGATAGTCATAGGGTACAAATAAGCAAATAAGCAATATAAATTGTAAGGATACAAGCAACAAAGTTACAGTCATGCAGTCACAAGTGGGAGGGAAAGGGGCGATAAGGAGTGATGAAAAGATTAATAGTAATAGTAGTGCAGACTTTGTAAATAGTTGGACAGTGTTGAGGGAATTTGTTTAGCAGAGGGATGGTGTTTAGGAAAAAACTCCTTGTGTCTAGTTGTTCTGGTATGCAGTGCTCTATAGCATCATTTTGAGGGTAGGAGTTGAAACAGTTTATGTCCAGAATGTGAGGGGTCTATAAATATTTTTGCATCCCTCTTTTTGACTCGTGCAGTATAAGGTCCTCAAGTGAAGGCAGGTGGGCAGTAATTGTTTTTTTCTGCAGTCCTAATTATCCTCTGAAATCTCTGTCTGTTCTGTTGGGTTGCAGAGCCAAACCAGACAGTTATAGAGGTGCAGATAACAGACTCAATAATTAATTCCTTTGTAGAACTGGATCAGCAGCTCCTTGGGCAGTTTGAGCTTTCTAAGTTGGCACAGAAAGAATATTCTTTGCTGTGCTTTTTTGATGATGTTTTTGATGTTAGGTGTCCATTTTAAGTCTTGAGATAGGATATAGTAAGTTAAGTACAGATTTTTTTAAAGATACACAGCTTAAAAATCCAGTAAAACAGCTTAGAGATGTTCTTGTAGAACAGGGCTGTCAAACTCCCGGCCCACAGGCCGGATGCATCACGCTCTGGCCACGCCCACGCCTAGTTTAGCAAGGGGGGGAAGTCCCGATATGTCACATGATGCAGCCATGATGAGTTTGACACTCCTGTTGTAGAGGAAGCACAGTAAGCATATCTTTTGTAATGTTTGTTGTTATTATCAAAATAAGCATTTCTTATGGTTATGGTTCTCCTGTTTTACAAAACAAAACAAGAATAGACAAACTGTGAAGGAGGAGGTACTGTTTTCTTTTCCTCTCTTTACTTTCCTCCAGGTCTAGGCAACTAGCTTGATTCCAGAAGAAAATTTGCTCCCTGGAGATAAGGAGATATTTTAGTTAGATAAATGATATCATCAGATTTCATTTGTATAATATTTCTGTGTAAACACTAACATAAATGAAATACCACATCCTTGCACAATAGCAAATTAGCTGTAAATTTGAGTTCCCCAAATTTAGTAGAAATATAAATAGCAATGCATTTAAAAGAGATCTATCTCCAAATCAGTATTGAAAATTAGCTGACTGGAAATAGGGAAGAAAGAGAAAAGGGAAGAACATTAATAACATATAACTTGGAAGGGTATGATTAACTGCAGTCCTGGATAAAAGTGCAATTTTACCACTTCTGATTCTCTAAGAGCCAGCTCTTTCTTTTTAATGGTTGAAGTGTTTTCATGCCTACTCCAAGACATGCATGAGATTGTGCAAACCTGTGCAAGCTATTTAGTATTAAATCCTTCCATATATCCAGAGATATTTAACTTTCTACCAATGATGCACGGAATGGTAACCTTTAAAAACTAAAGCCAGCACTTCTGCCAGTGGATTGTTTATTTATTAGTCAGCATTTACTCCTGGCTACTGCTTGGTCTAGTGCCACCAATTTTCCTTGAGAAGATTATTCAGAATGGTTTGCCATTACTGCCTTCCCAGGGTTGTGTGTGTGACTGGCCCAAGGTCACCCAGTTGGCTTTGTGTTAAATTGGAACTCATCATCTCCCAGTTAACTCAAATTGCTACAAAAAGATTATTTATAGCAGATCAAAATCCAATAAGGACAATTTGCCTCTAAAGGAAAAACTGATGGGGCAAAGGAAAGGCTTACCTAAATGTCTCACTGTAGAGTTCTTAACAGTAAAAATAGCAACTTTATTTAGAATGTCTTCCCTGAACATTTTAGCTTGCTAGTAACAACTGAAAAATAGTGTTTTCAGAACAAAAAATTGTTATAGTATTTGACTTGCCCACTGACTACCTGCCTGAGACTATATTGGCCCTTAAATTAATTGGGCTTCATTTTCCATACAAAATACTTGGGATAATGTAATGAAGCCCAGATGGATCAGACAAAATATGTCACTTCTTAAGTTGTAAATATTTCTGTAGTACATAAATGTATAAGCAGAAAATAAAACATTATAAATTAGAAAATTATATATTTATCCAAAAATTAGTTTTTTGGCTGAATGCATTAATTAAATATGGGACTCCTTAATACCAATAAAAGTTAGTTTAAATACCTGTAGGCATATCTGCGGGTTGTCCAATTGATTACAGTGCGGTTTTTGCAACCTGACAAGCAAAGACAATGGGAAAGCCAGCTTCACTTCAGAACCTGTTACTAACTTAACTGCAGTGATTCACTTAACAACTGGGGCAAAAAAAAGGTTGTAGAGTGGGGCAAAATCCACTTAGCAAACGTCTCACTTAGCAATGGAAATTTTGGGCTCAATTGTGGTTCTAAGGCGAGGACCTGCTCTGTTTACAAAACACGGTGCTTCAGGATAAGGTAGAATAATTAGTTCATTGAGGAAGCAATACGTGTTCGGCCCTCCCTCCAGGTCTGACATTTGCCACCTCCAGCTACGCCTTTGCGCTCTCTTTTCTTGCCCCCGAAGGAAGAGGAGAGGCTTGAACGAGCTAGACAGGTTCCCCGCTCGGCTATCCTCGCCCTGCGCCGCGCCTAAAGCAGGAAGTCGCTGACCAGGGCAGCTGTCGGAAACGGTCTCCTGTAGTGCCGGGAGCGTCTCTTTCCAAGGGGACTCGGTAGCCGGCGACCGCCCCGTCTCCTCGCTTCGGGTAAATTGCCGCACTCCAAGATCAGCCTGTGGGGAGGAAACAGGCGGGAGCTTTGGGGAGAGGGGCTCTCGGGGAAGCGGCAGCTTCGTAGCGCGCTCTGCCCTGGCAGAGCGGAGACTCTCCTCTGAGGGGATGGGGCGGGGGGGGGAGAGCCGCCTATCGCACCTGTGGCGAATGCCGGGCAAACCAACCGAGCGGCAAACTGAAGGGGGGGGGGGGTCGGCGGGTGTGCGGGGGGGGGGGGAGATAGCAGGTTGGGGCCCTTCTGTTGGCCCCAGTCTCTTTCCCAGACATCGATGCACCGTTTCGAACGCATATCCAAAGAGGAAATAATGTTTATTTAGGTTGTGCTGTTTAAACATGTGTTGCTCTTGATTGGTTGTATGCTTTTCCGTGATATATTCCTAAAGTAGCCATATGAGGAGGAGGAGGAGGATATAGGTAATGAGTATTGAGATAGCCCCCATCAACCCCAAAGCCTGTGGGCGATGGCTGTTCGTTTCCCTTTAAATGAATGGGGCTGATTTTTCAGGTTGTGCAGCAGTTTCTTGACTGGTTTTGTCAATCAGATTTTCTGTTTCATATAAATTTTATTGAATTTACAATTAAAAAAATAACATAACAACATTACATAAAAAAAAAAGAAAAAAAAAAAAAAAACAAAGAGACGAAAGGAAAAAGAAAATACATTAAAACCAGACAAATATTCTTTTTGACAGTCTACAAGATCCAATTCTCCTACCTTACTTTAAATATACACATCTTATCGCTATTTATGGATATTTATGCTTATTTATGCTCATTAAACAGTTTATCTCTGATAAAACCAATTATACCATGCATTCCAATTATTATCAAATGCTGAAGACTCTTTATTTTTAAGAGCTATGGTTAAATTGTCCATTTCTGCGCAGTCACATATTTTCTGAATGACCAATTGATCTGTAGGTAAACGGGATGATTTCCAGCATTGGGCAAATGCTAATCTGGCCGCAGTTAGAATATGAATTATTATGTATTTCGTCTTTTTAGGAAAATGTTTATCAGAGATCCCTAGTAGGAAGAACTCTGGTTTGTATTCAATTTGATCTTTGGTTATCTCCTCCAGCCATTTTCTAATTTTTTGCCAGTATTTCTGGGCTTCTTTACAGGTCCACCACATATGAAAGTAGGTTCCCTCTATGTTTTTACATTTCCAACATTTTGGACTAGAGTTTGGGTTCATTTTCGCTAACCTCGAAGGGGGTAAGTGCCATCTATATAACATTTTATACATATTTTCTTTGTACGCCGCAGATTTCGTAATCTTAATGATTCTATTCCAGATCTTTTCCCATTCTGTTAATGTAATGCTTCTTCCAATATTCCTACTCCACTTTATCATGTTCCCTTTCACTATCTCTTGCTCTAATTCTACCTCCAATAAATATTTATAAAATTTAGAAATATTCTTTTTATTTGATCCTAATAAGATTTTATCTAAGTGTTGTAATTTGCTATAAATTCCAAACTCTTTGATATCTTGTTTGTATCTACTATGGATTTGTATATATAACCACTGATCAATTTTAAATCCCTGTTCCTGTAAGTCCTGTCGAGTTCTTAGCTTCCCTAAAGGATCTAATAAATCTTTATATTTAGTCATTTTTGTTATATCCAAATTGTTGGGATGAACCATTGCCTCCATTGTTGAAAGCCAAATCGGAATTTTTAAATAATGTTTTTTACATATTTTTTTCCAATTAGTTAATAGTGAATCTCTAATAAGATGTCTATGAAAGTACGCCTGTTTAGTTTTCCCCACATCCCATAGAAATGCGTGCCATCCTCTCTGAAGGTCGTGCCCTTCCAAGGCTAGAGTTCTTTTATTCCGTAAATTGACCCAGTCTTTTAACCATAGTAAATTGGCTGCCCAATAATATAATTCCCAGTTTGGAAGCGCTAGCCCACCTCTACTTTTTGCATCTTGTAAGGCCTTAATACTGATTCTAGCTTTTTTCCCTTGCCAAATAAATTTAAGAGTTACCTTATTTATATCATCAAAAAAATTTTTTGGTAATTTTATTGGGATTGTCTGGAATAAGTAAAGGAGTTTTGGTAAAATGTTCATTTTGATTGTGGCAATCCTGCCCAGTAAAGAAAGCTGCAACTTATTCCAGGATTCTAGATCTTTCTTAATTTGCTGTAACAGTTTATCATAATTATTCTCTTTGAGTGATTTACTATGTGGTGTTAACCATATGCCTAAATATTTGACCTTTTTTGTTGCCTGTATCCCCATGGTTTTTTCTAATTCTTTCCTCTGGTTCTCTGTTAGATTTTTAGTCAGTAATTTCGTCTTATTTCTGTTGATCTTTAGTCCTGCTACTGAACCATATTGTTCTAGTTCTTTTATTAGATTATGTCCTTTCTCCATGGGATCCTCTAGGAAGAAAACCATATCGTCTGCAAACGCCTGTAATTTATATTCCTCTGCCTTGACCCTAACCCCTTGAATTTCAGGATTTTGTCTTATCCGCGTTAACAATGATTCTAAAGCAAATATAAATAAGAGGGGTGAGAGAGGGCAACCCTGTCTAACGCCCTTTTCAATGCTTAGTGGGCCTGTTTGTTCACCATTAATTAGTATATTGGCTTGTTGGGTATTGTAAATTGTTGTGATAATATTCTCGAATTTAGTGCCCAGATTCATGTTATAGATTTTTTGTATTAAGAAGTGCCAATGTAAGTTATCGAATGCTTTCTCCGCATCTAGAAACAAGAGTGTAAATTGTTTCTCTGGATGAGCTTCATAATATTCTAAGACGTCAATAACGGTTCTTAAATTGTTTTTAATTTGGCGGAATGGAAGGAAACCATTTTGGTCTTCATGAATGTATAAATTTAAAACTTGTTTTACTCTATTCGCAATAATTGAGGTAAATAATTTATAATCGGCATTTAAAAGTGAGATTGGTCTATAATTGTTAATATATCTGGCATCCACATCCTCCTTCGGAATTAACGCAATCAACGCCTCCCTCCATGAGTCTGGCATTTTGGCAGCCGAAAGTACTTCGTTAAACACTTCCAGCATCAGAGGCCCTACTAAATCTAATGTGGCTTTATATAATTCTACTGGAATCCCATCTGGACCAGGGGATTTATTATTACATTGATTTTCCATTGCAGATTTTAACTCAGACCATGTAATATCCTTATTTAGTAATTCTTTGTCTCCTTCCCCTATTGTTTTATCATTCGTATTCTCCAGATAAGTTCTTATTTTATCCTCATTGATTTCTTCTTTTTTATATAATCTTTGGAAATAGTTTAATATAATATCCTTTTTCTTCTCAATCTCATGTTGTGGGATGCCTTTCTCATCTATTAATTGGTGTATCAATCTCTTTTCTTTTTCTTTTTTAAGTTTATAAGATAGCCATCTTCCTGGTTTATTGGCGTGTTCAAAATAATTTTGTTTGGACCTTCTCAAGCTAACTTCTAATTTATCTTGTTCAATTAAATTCAGCTTATGTTTGGCTAGTATTAACTGATTTTGTAGTCCTTGGGTCTTAGGGGTTTTTTGTAATTGTGTTTCTAAGTCTTGGATTTGTTGTTGTAACGCGTTTTGTTGGGCATAAATTCTCTTGTTTCTCATAGCATTATAGGAAATTGTTGTGCCTCTTATAATTGCTTTCATAGTATCCCAAATGTTCTGTTTTGAAGTTGTTTCATTATTATTATCTTTTAGAAAATAATTTAGCTCCTCTTTCAGTTTATTAATATACTCTTCTTCGTTTACAATTTGGTTATTTAGTGTCCATCTTTTTTTTATTCGTCTCCTATCCCTCCAAATTAGCTGTATTGGGTTATGATCAGCCCATTCATTCGGTAGAATTTTGATTTCTTTTATTTCATTAGCCAAGTCCAAATCCATCCAAGCCATATCTATTCTGGTCCAAGTCTTATGTGGGTTAGAATAATATGTAAATTGTTTTCCTTCAAGATTCCGTTCCCTCCATAGATCTTTTAAATTTAACTCTCTCAACATTTCCTTACATGCTGCAGAGAGTTCCCTTTTCCCCTTCTTGTTTTTCCCCATATTACTATGGTCTTTCTGGTAGTCTGCAATGGAGTTAAAATCGCCAATCAAGCAAATGTTTCTTTTTTCAAAGCCTACTATTTTTTGGTGAAGGTGTTTAAAAAATTTCCCCTGGTCATCATTTGGGGCATAGATTGCTACAAGTAAAAATGTGATGTGGTTTATCCGAACTTGTATAACCAGAGTTCTTCCTTCGGGATCCGACCAGATTAGTTCTGCCTTTACATCTTGTTTTACATAAATTGCAATTCCTTTTTTCTTGTGTTGGTCGGCCGGTGCTGTAAAAAGTTTACCTAATTTTGGACAAATTAGATATCTTTCGTCATTCTTCGAAATATGTGTCTCTTGAAGACATATTATATCTGCGTTATGTTGAATAAGTTTTGAGAATATCCTTTTTCTTTTTAATAATGAATTTAATCCGTTTATATTGATGGAGAGCAACTTCTTCCCCTCCACCATTTATCTACTTCTGCTTAGATTTTTGCCTAGTAATGATTCGGTTCTCTTGTTGTTGTTGTTGTGGGATTTGCTCTTCTCTCCCATGTTGTGGATTATCACTTCTTGAAATTGGAGAAAGTCGTTCCTTTTGGGTTCTGTGATAATATCGGACCTCCTGTGGTCTTGTTTTAGGTTCTTCTTTGGTGGGTTGACTATTCTTATCTGTGAGCTGTTGATGAAAAACTTGGGCCTGTTCTATCGATTCTATTTTGATTTTCCTCTCTTTCCATGTAATTAACATCCCTTCCGGGATTAACCATTTAAAATGGATTCCTTCTTTATTTAAATCATTAGCTAAAAATTTATAATCTTGTCTTATCATCCTCACTCTCTTTGGAATTTGTTTTAAAATCCTAATTTCTCTGCCCTTATATGATATTGTTTCCTCCCTAGACATTTTCAAAATTAAATCCCTCAGACATCTCCTAGAGAAGCGGATATGAATTTCTCTTGGACAGTTGTTACGCCTGGCGTAGCTTGTGCTAACCCTATATACCTCATCAAACTCTTTAATTAGATCATCTTTTTCCTTTCCTAGCCATTCAGCCAATATTTCTGCCATCAAATGTTCCAATTCTTCATTTTTGGCTTCCGCCACATTCTGGAATCTTAAATACGCCATTGCTTTGTCCATCTCGAGGTGGATCAGAGAGTCTTCCGTTTCTCTAAGTACATTTTTAAATTCCTCATCCATCCTTTCAAAGTTAGACTCCATGCGTGTTGTTCTACTCTCTATATCTCTTATTTTCACTTCGTTTCTCTCCATGGCCTGCTGTAGAGACCCTATCTTACCCTCCACCTTCGCTATATCCGCTTTCATTTCAGCCTTCATTTTCCCCATCTCATCTTTCAATTCACTTATATCTGCTCTAGTTTCCTTGTGATTATTAATCATCATTTCTTGCATTTTAGATATAGCTTCCTGCAAGGCTAATATGGAAGTTTGTATATTAATATTGGGGACATTGGGCTGCTTTTCCCCTATTAAAGACTCCTCGATAGTTTTTTGAGATGTTGGTGGGGTGGCTGTCAACGTAGTCGATAGGGTCGGGATAGCCTTCTTTCCTGTTTTTAAGGCCATAGTTGTTGTGGATGTCATCTCTCTAAGTATTTGTTTTTGTTGATGCACAATATTAAATATATTATCCCAAATCACCATTCAGTATTTGGGTTCTGTACTTGAAAGACTATTCACGTATTTCAATTTTATATCTCACTCCACAGTCTTTTCCCCTATATCATAAATAGAGATCTGCAACAATATTCTAGTCAATGTAATAAGAAAATTGGTCAACAATAGTACATCAATTAACACTTTAAGGAATTGATCTTAAATGTCGTAAGTAGTCTAAATAATTTATAAATAGATTATATCAACAAAGTTTATCCCTTTTTACTATTAATACTTACAACAGTAAACTCTTAACTCTTTGATAATAGTGTATCCTCCTCTTCCCCCCCCCCCCAGTAAGTAAAATTATGTAAAGTGTTTAGGAGATACAATAGGGAGGCAAGGGGCAAGATAATAAGAGAAGGGGTAGAAGAGAGATTACCACAGCTTCAGAAAATCAACAAACAAACAACCATAAGGAAGTCATCTTAAAGAGAAAATAGTGCCAACTTAGTAAACTTAAGTAGTACCACGTAATAAAGAGAGCAAATTGGGTGAGCTAAAGTTCCATCTTCCAGCTAGAGGTTTCTTTTCAGCCTTCCAATCAGCAAATGGTGAAAAGTGCTGACTAATCTGCAGTCCCAAAACCGTCTATCCCAGCGTTCTGTTCGCCTCTGGCTTCTTCCTCTTGCTGCTGCTTCTTTCTTTGCTTTCCAACTTTTAAATCCACATACAAATCTTCCAAAGTCCAATATAATGCTCAATTTATCTTCTCCCCAATATTAAGTAGATGTAATAGTCATGTTGTGCTCAGACCAGATCCGGATCTCCAATCTCCAGGTTTTAGCAATCTCTCTCTTTCCCCAAAGCTTCCCCAATTGCTTTTCTGGCCGCTCTCCGCCGGACTTCCAAGAGGTGCTTATCACAACCAGGAGAGAAGAATTTATGCTATCATTCTTCTGTCATTCTACTCCCTTCAGACTTCAAAGAATCCAAGATATAAACCGTTTCTCTGTTCCTGTTACTGGATCTCGCAGGCTGTCACTGCTTTGCTTATTCACTCAAGTGGCAGACCGGATTGGAAGCCGCCATAAAATGACAGCTTACTCTTTAGCGCCGAGCTCGGGAGTTTCCCTCTTCACTGTTGGGGAGTTGCCTTCCCCCCTCTGCAGCTCGAGGATCTCCACGTTGACACGAACCTCTCCGGGGTTCATGTATCCCTGGGGGATCGCTCCTGACGCCAGAAAAGGTGTTCGAAGCCTGCACCAGACTTCTTCACCTCCGATCTCCTGTCCTCTCACTTGAGACTCCTTCAATCAGATTTTCAAAAGCTAAATCCCTTAGTCTAGATCAGAGGTGTCCAACCTTGGCAACTTTAAGACTTGTGGACTTCAACTCCCAGAATTCCTCAGCCAGCTGGCTGAGGAA